TATGTTTGCGTGACATTTCGAGTTTTCACGATTCCTTCAAATTTATTAGGTACCTTGATTTTCACGAATTAATTTGACTGATCTGGTTGCTAACCTGCTCACACGAGTGTAACTGAATGAATGAGAGACTGATTTTAATTCGGAATAATTATAATTTGGCATCCGTGGATCGACGTAAACTTGCGGGCAAACGGTGAAAGGTTGAGGGAACACTAAAATACTAAACAGGGTTTATGAAAGGTTAGGTAGGTTTATGAAGCGTCGTAAAGTCTGGCTGTCAGAACCCATAAAACACTGTTCTTGCCCGTGTTTTATTACACCTTTTGAGAGAGAATAGTTTGTAATTTTCTCCCTCAATAGTTACTGTTAATTTGTATTTTTTAACTCGGTGTTTAACAATTTAACTGTACACCGAGCACTAAAAGTTACTGTCATACTCATCGAGACACAGGTATCATTCTGCTGCGTACCGAATGTTAAGGGGAAAAATTATTAGTTTCCTACACGCACGTTTCACGTTTTACGTAGCCACATGGGAACAGCCAGCTTCTTTTTTTCTTCTTTTTTGCCTCTTCTTCATTTTATTGACAGAGGAAAACCTGTGTTCCGACGTAGGCTACTGATACCTCACCGTTTCAAGTCCTCATGTTGAAATCGGTTAACGCCAAATTGCGCGTGTACCTACTTTCATCAGCTCTAATGCTGAGAGTTCTCAGAAAGAGTCGTGCTGTATGACTGCTCACTCGTAGCCAAATTTACTTTAAATTTAGGACAATCAAGCTTCTACCAAGCGATAAATTTTTGAATTTTCTTGGAAGTGTAAATAATTTTTTATATGAAAAGAAAAAACTATTTTCCGGAAGATCCAAGTCGTATAGAACGATTGCATTTCTCACTAAAATTCTGAGGCAACACCGAAATGTTAGACTAATTGTAAGTATGACATGTTCCCTGATTTTAAAGTCACCCATGCTGTCCCCGGAATTCCTGAACTGCACTAGGCACCATTTTCTGTCAGACGCATGTCATTAAAGTTGTGAAATAAATCTAAAAGTGACACTACCGCTATCCCTGATGATTTCTGCCTGACGTCGGTTCTACTTTCATGGTTTTTTTTTTTTTTTTTTTTTTTTTTTTTTTTTTTTTTTTTTTTGACGCACCATGAATAGAGTGAATGATGCTATGAGTTTCATAAGCACCACACCGTTTTGAACCTACAAGGGAATTAGGTGTCTGCTTTGTCTTCACCGTTTACCTCAGTTTTCCCGATCAACGTCTCTCATCCAAAACAGTTTGATCAAATCATCGTTTCTCTGACGAAGGGACGTAACTACGTTTTAATGGTGCAAAATTCCTACTCATAAATTGTATTGTTACCCAAAAACTACCGCTTTTATACAAATGGTACTCACACTAACTTTTCCGATGATTACACATCAAAATTAGGAACATTTTGAACAGATCGCACGGTTTTATTCTCGTAAAAATCGAATATTTTGATCCGATCCTTCAGTTTTCCAATGAAGTTACGTTTTTTCGCCTAAAAAACGACGATATTTCAAGAAACTTTATTCTGTTGGACGAAAAGTTTTGTTCGTCCAATTTGCTCGGCTGATAGAGCAGAAAATAAAAGTAAAGATGAAAATAAAAATATAGGGTGAAAAATCAATAAACCGGGGCTTAATGATAAATTTAAATAATTATCTTTTCTTCATCTAATGTGGCAGAAAGTGAATTGAATTCGAGATTTATCAAAAAGGTTTATATTCTTCTTTCTAAATAAGTGTGCGAGGTAAAGAATCGAAACTTTTTCGTAGTGATGACGTCAGAGCGTACGAGCAGCGCTATTCGCCGGTGGTTCGCGAGGCATGGGGCTCCCCTCTGTGGTGACAATTGGGAGCGATGGTAGCTCAATCCCACCCTTGGAAAAAGACAGGGAAAAAAAGGAGGCAGATAGTCTTTTCTTTCAGCGATTGATACCTCATCCCCTCTCGTCGGGCTCATGACGGTCTCTCCCTTACAGGTGATGAAACCCCGGTTTCACCATGCAAATTAGGTCGCGGCTCGGTGCGCGGTGTCGAAAGGCTAGCGCGGATGGCCGGGCGGGGATGGCTCCCCTTGCCGAAATACATGGCACCCGAAATACATGGCACCCGAATACATGGAGCCAATGTATGCCGCGTACACGGTAACTGTTCCTGCAATGGATCCGGATTCCTGGGATCCCTTCCCCCTCAGAGTTGCACTGGTGACAACCCGTCGATAATCGCGGGCCATTGTCATTCTTGCGCTTAATTTTTCGGGTTTGTAACTGGAGTGCAAGCGCTGTTGCCACGCTTCACGTGAAAATACCATATTTGCCTTTGTAAAAGTTGTCTCAGACCACCGAAAAAAACGATACCACAATCCCAACTATTCTCATGGCTGCTTTTGGCGTCAGATATAAGAGTAGTTGCACCAATCAGAGGTACGGTCTGCCGAAAGTATGGTTGGATCAACCATACCTCTGGCTAGTGTGACTACGCTTATCTGGAGCAAAAATCAGCCAGGAGTGTAGTTGGGATTGTGATACTTTTTCTTTGGTAGGGGTGAACGATCAGATTGCAGGAGTGTGTTCAGGTTCAAACTAACCCTTTTGTTTAAAAAAAAAAAAAAAAAAAAAATGGCCCCATAAATCGGAGCGACATTCACTTCAAATGTTCGGGAAAGTTGTCGGTTTTTTTTTTTAGATTTTGGCAACGGGGACCGGCTAAAACTTATGAAAAATGACTAGCCTCTAAAAATTTTAATGTTGCACTCATCGGTAACTCTAAAAATATCGAAATCTCAAGTTAAAGGAGGACCTCAATGGTTCCAGATCTTACAGAGTGAAGAAATTGAGTTTATCAAATCATTCTTTAATGTTAGATTTCGATATGTTTAAGCCATAGGTGAATTTAGTGTTAAGAAATTATGAATTGTAGCCTCTAGGACTATAATTTTCTGCGAAATGAAGAAAAACGACAATTTTCTGAAAAAAATTAGGGGATCGTAACCTCGGCTTTGGCACTTTTTTTTACAAGAAAAAAACTTTTTAGAGGAAAAAGACTCATTGTACATAAAACAGGCTTGAAGTCTGGTCGTTGAACCCCAGGCCACCCTGAATATTCCGATTTTCCCGAGTAGATTTGGCAACTGCTTGGGTGCGCATCCGCGGTGCTGGGTAAACTTTCGAGGGGTCTCGGCGCTTGATCCACTGGATTAAAGCTGAGTCGAGGCCTCGCCCGGACCGGGAGGGAGGGACCTTGAAAAGAGGCCATGGTCACGTTTCAAAAACACTTTTGTTGACTCCGATAGATTCGGCGATTTAGTTTTTGCGTGGGAACTGCCAAGTATCGCCCGGCGAATCTTTCCCGCTTAGCTTCGCTGAAATTTCTCAACTTGCTCCGGCTCAATGGCGATGGCCCCTCAATTCTAAGGAAAAACGTCCTATGCTCATTCAGTTGTTTTAGAAACCCCCCCCCCCTTCCCACCGTAAATTATTTATTTTCAAGGATGGAAAATGAACATACCATTCTTGAAATTTTTGGACACTTCATATTTGATATTGATTCAAATTGGTCAGGAGCGCTGGTTATAGAATCGTGTTTTAATGGTTTAAGCTTACAGATCGGTGAAAAATATTAAAATTTGTTCAAGTGTCCAGCTTTTACGTCCAATATTATGACATATCGCCCATTTACAGATACAGCGAATGACATCACCTATACCGCAGTAGTACATACCATGGTTTCATCCGTATTTTACGTCAAGCAACCACTGAAAATGTGTGTCTCACCAATAAATGAAACCAGATCGGACACAATTGTGGTGGGTGACGTCACACGCTCTGTTTTCCGATGAGCAATATCTGCGTCAATATTGAACGTACACACTTGGCATTTGAACAGATTTTATTATTTTTTGCCGATAAGTAAGTTTCAACCATCCGCATATGGCTCTGTGGCCAGCGCAACTGATTAATTCCTCTGAAAAATGTACGCAAGTTTCCAGCGGTGATCTACGAGCAACTGAGCGGTCAAAATAATTTCATAGCTTTTGCAACATATCAAGTATATGATCGAAAAATTAATGACACTAAGCTGTCGTACCGTTTCATGTTCAGGAATAAATTTTAATTTCTCAGTAGTTTTTTACATCAGTTTTTCTTCAGTATTTATCGTAATTTAACGTAGCTTTCATGATCTGACTCGCAAACAGCGAACAGTTTTTTTATAATTAAACTTTGGAAAGGAAACTTTCACTATTTAATGGAAAATTTCAACGAGCTATGATTTATTAAAATCCTTTGAACTACATAAAATGCCGGAAAAATGTAATTGTTGAAATTCAGGAAGTTTTGAACCCGTATACTCGTAAATAATTATTCTTAAACTGTCCTCCATTTTCCTTAACGTCAATTATGTCCAATGCGGAAAACCGATGCGATCGTAATGCTTTTGAATTAGAGTGATGAAAAATATACACTTTGAATTGCGGTAATTCCCTTTAAACCGTACCGTTTTCCCTCTTTTCAAGCAGTTGCATGCATACTTCCTGTTTTATTGCAAATGAATGGTGAGACAAGAAAAACGCGTTCCTTTGTTGGTAAGTTTTAAATTGTTGCGAGCACTGTATCGTTCAAAAGAAGTGTCACTCGGAAATTTTTCTTAATTTTTCAGTGTACCTATATTATGGATGGGGAAAAAAAAATCTCATGGAATATCGTGCAGCAGCTATGTGCGTTCGACCTTCTGAACAGTGAAATGTGACGCAAAATATGTAGCGTCAAAATCCGAGTCGTGCGTTTTCCGTGTTTCACCATCGAAATGCATTGTAACTCCCACTGAATGCCAATATGACTTCAGAATTTGAGCGTTTCAGTATTATTAAACACCTAACATGGTCATAGTTTTGCTTCCCTATGGGATTTTGTTATCTCACGGTCTGATACTAATCCTCATGTTTTCTTTTTTTTTCAGATTCGACAAGAAAACCCTTATTATATAGCCGATCAAGAAGTAGACTCATTAGTAAGTATTATATGATTTTTTATTAATAATTAAACGCACGGATAGAAAATAATGCCAGTTGGTCACTGGATTCCTGGCTATTATGATCTGATGCAGGAAATCTAATAGCCGCATTTGTCGTTAAAATGCATCTGATTATGCTTCTCGCACCGGCCACTAGATTTTGTAAGGACTATGCATATGATTAGGATCCTAGTAACCACCAACATTCCTTTTTTCGTTCGAGTTGGTCGTTAATTTAAAGAAATTTCATTTAAGTGACTAGCGCTGCTTTCATTTTTTTACAATTAATAGTATCGAAGGTTTTTTCTCTTTTTTCTGTATTTTAAATTACTTGTAGACATGCATGATCGACTAGAAATTAAAATTAGGAAAATGTGAGCGTTTGTCTTTCTCCGAGCTGGAATATTTCACGACCAGACATTGGTGGATCCTGCAAATTGGCAACATTGTCTTTCCCCATTCAAACCTATGGAAATATATTGATTATTGGAAGGGCCAGGTGCTCTGACAAGAATCGATTATCCAACATAGGTTTAAATGGAGGAAATTCGGTGTTGCCAAATTGCTGGATCCGCCTCTGTGATCAGAAGATGGTACCGTATTTCCATTTTTCCTCGGTCCGGAATGGCATACTTTTCGAATAGTTAACCCGAGCAAATGATTAAAAATTCCTTTAAAACCCGGACATGGACAAGAACTTCACCAGTCCCTGAGGACCCACCTATCGAGAGCGTGATCCGGACTATTAGAGCTTTGCTATTAGGGTCGGCGAATGGCAGGAGGGCTAGGGAGCAGGGTCATTACGCTATCCACACCGAGCATCACTGTCAAATCGATAGCAAATCCCCATTTCTTTTCGTCGGATGTTGGAAAAAGTTGAAATTCGAGCACATTGTTCGGCAACTCCGAAGCTAGACCAAGTCGTTTGTAAAAGGAGTCTCTCGAGGGCGTGTTCTGCTCGGCAATTAATCGAAATTCAGCTTCGTGAATCGATCTCCAACTTATTCAAATACGGTATTTTGCGCTTGATATCGAAGTCCTTTCAGAGGATCTCCTCCCGAGTTCGACCCTTCGAGAGCCGCGATTAAAAATTGATAATTAAATTTGTACGCGGCTACTTGAGAATAGGTGTCTCTTGTCACGCGAGTTGAACGAAGTTGTCGGAATGGGCACGGTCGAACATATTTCGTAGAATTTATATCCAGTTTCGTTGAATTTAACCTAAGCCGATGTATTTGCCCCGCTTGTCAGTCCAACTAGGTCAATAGCCGAGTGTATACATTGAATCTAATCTGAGCTCGTTTTCTTTTAATTCTTATCGTGTGCGAAAATAGTAAAAGCCTTTTCAAATGCGAGGAATTGTTGCGATTGAATCAAAGTTATTTAATGAGTGAAATCCTGCCTAAATCGAATTGTTAACAAAGAAATAGCTGACAAGAGTCGAAGTGAGGTCAATGTTCGCAATTATTCAGTTTTGAATTCATTCCTGAGGTCAGTAACTGCTGCCAATTGCATAGATCATAATTCCCTCCTCGGTAGAAGTTTCGTTTTCTCGAAAATCAAACTTCACCGTGAAATTTTATGAAATGTTTCAAAATTTTCTTTGCAAAATTAAGATTTTTATGACGGTTTTACATTTTGCATATTTGTGTTCGATGGTGAAAATTCGCCTTTTGTGAGGATTTTTGGCATCGATGCCGTGCGACTGGAGTCGTTAGGAGTGACCGATAAACCTTGCGTGTTGCCCTCAGCCAATTCTAACCTCACTTTCCGTTTGGGCTCGGAGGGGCATACTTCGAGGTGGCGCGGAATGCGGGAAATAACCTCAAAGTGTCGGCGAAGAGGAAAAGCCATTCACACGGGTGCTAGACGGGGGTAATAGTAAAACTTAGCCTAGATCAATCCGTTTAGTTCAACATTCTATCGGAAGTGTCGGAGACTTTTTAGCCTCGAAAGTCCTGCGGGCTAATTGCAGGGCTGAATGGCAACACTGCAGGAGCGTGTTCAGATCCACTGGCAACACTCGTAAAAATTACTGGTGTGTCTGGATTTTTGGTTTTGAGATCACGAGAGATTTCATTGCTTCTCAGACAAATGAGCGTAACTCCATTACAATGCTAAAAAATTTGCACCCGCGATTCGCGTTTTACTTGAAGACTGTTGGAAATTTCTGTCAGGGAAGTTTCGCCAACGCTTTAACAGATTGCGGGAAAAATTCAAGTTCGCCAGCAGATGCGCTGTCATTTTCGCATGAAAAAAAATAATTAGATGAGTAAATGTTGCAACTTTGGAATTAAGTTACGTCCTTTTGCCCGAGCAACGATGGGTTTTCCTTAGAGCCATGGTTGTAAAGAAGCGATGAGGGTTTAATTTATTATGCCTTAAGCGCATTCCACGACATGATTTATGTCTCCAGTTGACATCATTCGAGTCTCAACAACTTCAAAAATTTAATTTTGAGAAATCCAAAAACCTCCTGCTCCCAACAATTTTGCAAAGACTCGATTACGCAACAACAGATTGCGGAGCATATTTTACAGTACGAAAATTTAAATCTGCAATTTTTAAAAATATTTCCTTGGTTGTTTTCCTAGTTATTTTTACCTTTAATTACTGGGATTATCAATCTTGGGGAGAACACTGTACGTATTTAGCGTGGAACACTTCCACTGAGCAAATGCTTAATCACGGTGGCATGGAATGAGGAAAACCCGAAACATCGGAAAGTCTCGGGTTAATAATCTGGAAAACGTCAAAAAATCAATGCAAGGTCAAGATTTTTCATCTCTGGAAATTTCAGCTGTAAAATGTTGCTAATTTATTGTCGGCTAATGTCAAATGCATACTGTGAGAAAAATCTTAAATACTCGAGGAAGGATGAAACAACTAAGAAAATTTAGCAAAATATGAGGAAAATAGATTTTTCAGCGTGAAAAGTACTCGTCATTCTAAATGTTGAGCTTCAAATATTTCCGTTAACTTGTTTTTGCAACACGAGTTATAAACTGGTTTGTCTAAATTTAATATAAGCCAATGACAAAAGGCGCAAAAGTGTATTTTCATTGCATTTTCAATATCTTTGCTTACGTTTCGTGATTTTGAGAGGAAAGTAACCAGAGTATCTTCTTGAAATTCCGTGTGAATAGTTTGAGTGATAGAAAAAAATCCACAGAAATCTGGAAAAAAAAAAAAAAAAAAAAAAAGTTGTCTAGATCACCTCTTAAAAGTAAAATCATGAGCAATGATTTGCAAGGCCGCAACCGGAACTACACATTTTCCGACTTCAAGATGTGTGATTTGGTACAGATGGAGAAACGCGTCGGGATCTCGGTGCAGAAGAATGATGCCCTCGATCTTCAAATCTTCATTTCGTTCTAAATTTCGACAAGCACCATGACCAGCTTCCCCTCCCACACTTCCGCCTTCCCCGTGGACAATAACTATGCAATCCCCGTCCACGAATATTTTAACCGACCATTATTTATGGCAGGATAATTTTATGGTCAGTTAGGTCACCGACAGAGGCGACCGTCCGATGACCGCCGATTATGGATGCGTAGGTGTGATTCTCTTAACCATCTGTAACCATCCTCGGGAAATTACCCCCCCCCCCTCCTCCGCCTCGGTAGTCCGAGAATTCCGTCGTCCATTCAGGGTTAATCTGTTCCGTGTGACTCCTCGATCTGTTTCTCCCAATTTTTTTCTCTCCTCGCGGCTCGTCGCGCCGGTTTTTTTTTTCGGTCTCTCATATTTTTATGATTGTTTTAAAAAGGTGTATATTTCAATAATCGCGTAGTGCCCCCTGCCCCCGGCCCCCGGCGTTCTTCGGGCATGCGCCTCTGGACGTGTCGTCACGGTTCCTGCCCTCAATTCGTCTCTCCTGAAGAAAGAGAGGGACGTTTTTTTCTTACGAGAAAATCGAGGAAAAAACTCGCCGCCGCATTGTCCACCTGAGTCTTATTAAGTTGTCGAAAAAAGTCGGAGTAAACGCTCCTATACTGTAGGAAGTGTGAAGCTTAACCTTATACCATATGCAACTCGTTTTTTGACACCCCCCCCCCCCACAAAGCTTCGAAAAAAATCATTTTATAGTTTAGCAATTTATCCATAACTTTTCATTGCTATCAAAGTTTCAAAGTAAATAAAGAATAATTCTCAGGTGGAATTTGTTTAATTTCCTCTTTGTGTCTTTGAAGCGCTGGTTGACGCCTCTGCTTGTACCTTAAAAGAATTCAAAAGTCAAAGACAATTAAATCCATATTGACATGATATAAATTGTAATTTTCATGTTCTTTCCTGTTTCTAACTATTTGAATTCTAAAATATTAAAGCTTTTTTTGGGGGGGCTTCTCTCCATAAAATTCATGAAGTTTCATTGTAAGAAACACGCATGTTAAAGATACCCATACCTATCATTTTGCAGTAAGATAAAAATCGGAGTTCCCTCTGAGGAAGTACTTCTTTAATTACGAATTACTAACTAATCACTAATTACTTAGTTACAAATTTGCAGGCGCTTATTCTGATCATTCTCTTTCATAGTCTCCAGGTCAATCCGCCGTTTAAATCACGTCTGGAGCGCTCGGTTCTTCATACAAATACCCATCTGCATATTTTCATTTCTTAGACAGTTCAAACCGTAAAATTGTTTCAAATTTTAGCGAAGAAAAGATAATTTTATCCAATTTTCTTCGAGGACTCTAGAGAGTCCGTCGGATGAAATTCTGTCGGGATCAAATGCAGGATGCTGTCGGGCCCATCTGCAGGACGGAGCTTTTCAGAGGTGTGTAATTATTAAGTCGGGAGAAATTACATTTTTATTAATTTGCCGGTACGGCTGGCCACGCCCAGGAATATTCCATTTCCACGCCGCCGCCGCTCACCCGTTCGCTGTTATCCACCATTATTAATTAAGATCGAACCGAATTACGCGCCGGGCACCGATCATCGATCGCACGTCCACCCGTGCAAACGACGCCACATCAACGGCTCCTTGTCAACATTGCCAAATCGTGCGATCAAACTCGTTTTTTTAAGCCGTCGGTACAAAAAATTCCGATTCAATCGGCAACACTGGAGCAGGTATACCGATATGATTTGTCAACGCCGCGACTTTGCCGAAATTATACCGCCAAGATGCATTGATCCGATAAGTTCGGAACTTTTATTCATCGAGAAAAAAATTGACCAGGTCTTTAACCCGGGCGACGGGGCTATGATTGGTCGTTCATTTTTTGCTCTACCCACCAGAGGTGCCGATTTTGCGAGCTCGAACTGGACTCTGAAGAGTGGTTTAAGGAAAGTGTCTTCAAAATACGAGCTAGGTTCGGTGTTTATATAACTCGCAGTTTTTCCATCACTTAAACCCACTTATCTTCTCGAAACGCACTCATGATTCCGCCTTAATCAATTACTTAATGCTACGCGGATCCTCTCTTCGCCCCTTGTTTTTTAGTTTTTTTTTTTTTTTTGAAATCTGGTGCAAAAGTCTCTTTTTATTGAACAAAAAAGACTAGGAAGAAGGAGAAAAAGAAGATAAATAAGATGAGAATTGAATTTTTGAAATTAAAACTGAGACGTAACGCTCAGTTACAGCTTCCATTTTTTGAGCGACGAAACGTAACGACGACTTAAATTCTCCCTCCTCTAAATTCATCGCGTAGTTCTTGAACCTCTGAAAGGTTCCGCACTGGAAATACGCCGGAAAACTAACTCCAGGGCTGAAATCTGCAGTGGCATCACATACAATTTGGACAGGTGAGGTACCGGAGCCCAACCCTCGCTCAAGACTCGAACAAGTCCAGCCAGGGCTTGAATTTCCCCAAAATTTAGATGATAATTTTTGATGTCATATAACCTTGCTGTCTGGGTATGATATCTTCTTACGTCCAGGGTTGAATTCAGAAGCGGGCTTGTAATTTTTTACCTAATTTTCCCAAAAAATCCAAAAAAGGTGTAAAAAGACCGATTATCAAAAAAATCGTCAAGGCCGCGAGGCTAGGACAGTTAGGTGCGTTGACTCCACCTACGATGGATTCGTCAGTGGCCGGGGTAATCTCCATACTCGTCCGCCTTATCCACGGGTACGCTCCGGACACAGAAATGCTCTCTGATGGGTAAGTGAATCAGTTGTCAACTCGGAGAGAAAAAGAACAAAAAACCGGACACGGACTCGTGGATGATTTGAGAGTGAGCTCTCCATTCGAGCTTCGGTTATTACGGGGCCCGGGGGGAAAATTATCGAGTGCAACTGACCGATGGCAGCGATCCACGACTGATCACCGATCATCGGATCACGTTGAGCGTCCCAGTCGGAGTCGGAATCGTCGAGCACGTCGCCACAAAAAATCGAGCGCGGAGGGAAGATGTAACTCGACTCGACGCCGCGGCCCCGGTAATGGAAATTCGTTGTTATAAAAATACGGACACGTATATTATATCTAATCAACGCTCGTCCGAAAAAGAAAACCGCCCACTTTTACGTACCGCGACTTCCGACGCGCGCGCTAACCGGCCCTGTCTGACCCGGCGCGGCGCTGACTCGCTGCGGATTTTAGCGCCCTTTCAGCGGACTGATCGTTGCAACTGATTGACAAAGTTATGGACAACACTGGAAAAAAAATTTCTCTTGGCTCCAGAGTCCAGACTCTTGAAAAATTTGACAAGAAAAAATACTCTTGATTCAATCGGATGTCTGTTTGAATCAACAATAAATCCGCCTCAATGAAGAGGCTAAGCTCTCGATGCTAGCAAAAATCCGATGGAATCAAGAGTTTTTTTTCTCGTCAAATTTTTCACAGGATCCAAGGAACTTTTCTTTCAGTAAAAGAAGACATGAGGGTATGGAGCATTGGAGCAATCCTATTGGTTGAAATGGAGGATCTTACAGGCTAAGGGGGTAATTGATGGACTAACTATAGGGTTTCTCATGGGTTGGCGTTAGTTAGTCTATGACGTACCTCCTTTGTCCATTGCAACAACCCGACTTTTGACCTAAGCTTTGTTGGTTGTCGTAAAATTCGTCTAGCAAACCCGCCGATGTTCAGTAAACTTGTTCGTTATCATCCGAAGATGATTAGCTAAATAAGAGGAGGCCAACGGCCAACAATATGATCGATGACAGTTGCTGCCTTAGAATTATCCATCAAAAAAGGTGGAATTGCTGAAAGATACATTTTTTGTACATGACCAAAAGCTTAATGGAAGTTCCATTATTCATGCAATTTTCCGGATCTATAAGTCGACACTCGAAATCGGAGATTCGAGTTCCTTTCATTTACGGAAACGGGCCGCGGCAAAATTTCAAGTATTTTTCACTCGTAGTAGTAGAGTCTTCCAATTCCTTTAAAAGGTCCTTCTCTCGTCAGATGTTTCCTCAGAAGCTGGGAAAAAAAATCCGGGGATTATGGAGGCGAATTGATGACGTCAATAGGTGCGCATCAGCCTCTCAATTTCACCGCTTTATCACCGGTTATCACCTCTTTTCCGCCTCTGGTTGCGGTTCCAGCGCGGCTTGCCGAAGTCCGAGCCGGCGTAAAGCTGACAACGGAGGACGGCGCAGCCAAATGAATGCAAATAAGATGCATGCTGAAAACGCCTAAGAGGGCACCAGCTGAATGCAAGCAGTGCTCACAGAATTTTATTCTTTGCTTTCCCACTTTTTATCCCTCATTTTATTTTCCTCCTTTCTCGTGAGCCGGGATCCGCCGCGCCGAGTAACGACTCCGTCTTCGTCTTCGTCTTCGAAGCCTCACATTTTTAGCTCGGGGATCTCTCATCCCGCCGCCGTTGCCAGGTCTCAGAGAAATTTCGAATTTCCCGCCTGCGTACCGATTATTAAATTCGATGGACAAATGAGACAAAAGAGATATGGAGGGATCATATCGGTGGAAGCGAGTGGTTGCAATTAATAGACAAAGAAAGTAGGTAGACTAACTAACGGCAACCCACGAGAGACCCGATAGTCAGTCCATCATTTACCCCCTTAGTCTGTAAGTACCACCCATTTCAACCGATAGGATCGATCTATTATACTCCTTATGTCTTCTTTGTCTATAGTTTTGTCTATACATTTCAATAATCGGCCCGCTGGTCGCTGTCAATTTGACGTACGCGGATCGATTCAAGTTGGTTTTTTGAGCTTGGTGAGTGGATGTCTGTAAGTTTCACGCGTTTTTCATTCAAAATCGTCCGTGTTATGACCTGAAATTTGGCAGCGTGGTCACTCTTCTCACGTGAGCTTCGCGCCGTTTGCAAGCTCGAACGGCGCACAGTGGTTCGGGTCAATCAGTGAGGTCGGACATGAGATTTTTAACTTAAACTGCAAAATTTGATGTTTAAATCGTCACATTTTAAATTTTAAGGGGTGCATCCAGAAGAAAATTCCACGAGAAAACCAATGAAACCACTTTTAAAACTTCTAAATCTGTACGAACGGAGTTATGAGCTTTTAAAGTTTCCAAATGTTGTCCGACCTCCCCAATTGGCTCGATCCATTGTGCGGCGCGCGGCCGCGGCCAGACATCCTCTAGACGACGCGACGCACGATGGTAACGGACGCGGCGCGCCGCGCCAGTCTTCCTGCCGTGGCAGCTTTTGATGTGCGGTTTTTCCCTAAAAACAAAGAATTTCCCGGATCTGCGATCTCATTTTGGTCACTCTACTTACAAACTCACGAAATTCAAGATTTTTCCCTATACAAGCATTCCTATTCCACACTTAAAATTCTTTAAACTACTATGATTTCGCTGACGATATGTTTTTTCGACGCTCTTGATTGAAAATGTCTCTTTTTTCTGTTTCAGATGGTGCAAGCTATCCAAGTATTGAGATTTCATTTATTAGAATTAGAAAAGGTAAGAAAAGTTCCAACATTTTTTAAATTATATTATCTCTTCAGCCCCATTTCCACTCCTGTCATTCTATTTTTCACAATATAACAATCATTACGGGTGGTTTTACTTGCGATAAAATAACGATTAGGACAGAATTAAGCAATTTATAGTGGAAAGGCTATCGTCATCCGCTATCGGCATCTTGCACGAGTTCAGTGTCTTCTCCGGTTAATCATTATTCATCTCTGGAATTACTGGAGGAATGCACTACGCCGTAGCACATAATTTATCACCGCGTATACTCTATGCCCCTCGTATCGTCCAGATAGTGGAGCAAGTGTGTAAAACAAGAGAGGACAAGAATGGGAGGGAAAAAACAGGGCTTGAGTCCCAATTAAAAAGAGTGGCATCGATGACTGACCAAGCAAATAAATAAAAAGAACTCGTCAGTGTCACAAAACAACCACACGGCACCAACGAAACTTCAGCACCGCCCAAGACCTCTTTACACCTACGAGGTAACTGTGCTGTCCACGGAGTTTCGAATGACGAGGTTCTTGGATTAGAATTAAATAATTTTGTTTCGAGTCCCTATTTACCTATACAGTGAAGATCCTTTTTCGTATGTTAATCTATTTCTGTGGATCTCCTTAATCTGGAGAAGGTACATTGATGCAAGTTCTCCAGCTGGCTGTCTTCCCCATCTGGTGTCCCCCAAGGATTCCCAAGGAATTTTCAAAAATATACGATCGTTGCAAAGATTTTGCACACGTCTCCAGGAGTATTAAGTGTAATCAACCATCGATTGAGGTTTCAGCTGATACTTCTTACCAATAAAAAAAATAGTGGAAAACCAAAATTTTTACTTTTTTTTTTGTGCCTTTTCTTTGAGCCACCTGGAGATATCGCATAAAAACACATTTCTGCACTCCGAATGTAATTAGTAATTACTGGTGAACCAATCCCTTAAAAATCCAGTGCCGTAATTTTCTTACGGTCTGCGGCGGTTTTACTTCTCGAAACCAACAGACCGAGCGGCGTTATCCGTGTAAACAGGCCTTGAGAGTCTGACCGCGTCAACGGTCGAGCTGGAGAAAAGGAAAAAGGATTAAATCAATGAATGATCGAAATCGGTCCCGGAATGCCGCTGCTCTGACAAATGCTGTCGGATTTTCCGGAAAAATCACCGTCCTTCATCTCAAATAAAACAAGGAAGATGTAGTTTTCCGTCCATCCGGCAAACCTGAAAGCGCCTTTTTACCGGAGGTGTGCACACGGCTGACTGTGGAAGACCGGTCTGTCTCCTCTTCTTTTTCTTCGGCTCTTCACTCGCCTTCAATTCGTAATTTTCTTTTATTTTTAATCGAAAATTAAAATAAAATGTCCCCCTCGATCTCCCTCCCCTGCCCCCTCCGACCCGACGACAGTTTGCTAAGCAGGAGACCTTGTTTCTGAGAGGACATCACTTAACACTCAAACATTATAATTCAACTCATGGCATTTTGTCAAGATTTTTCTTTCTTCTTCATCTTTTACTATATTTTCTTTTCGCCGCTTCACTCCGGCTTTGTTTTGCATTCCTGAGTAGTGGAAACCGGGGGGAGTTACGAGTTCGCAAAGTTTCCGTAGCCAACGTTTCCTTTTACTTACTTTTCTGTCGTAGCATATAATGATTTTCTTCCATTGTGTTCGGATGAAAGGATGTGCTTCGATCGCTCGCTCTCTAAGAATGACATTAAAATATTCCACTTAGTTCTGTCTCCTTTTTAAAGGTTTAGTTTTTATTTAGAGTATGTTTAATTAATTTATTTATCCATTCATTCCTACCAAATGCACGGTTCAAATTCTGCTCCTTTCTCTTCCCTTCCATCTATAACTCGGAAATTTCTTATGAGTCACGGTGAAAAAAAAAGAAAAGAAATGCTAGAAAAAAACAAAAGCTCAAAAACCCACTGAACTGTATGGTTCTGATTTTGATCGAGCCTAGGTATCCGTTCAAGTGTTGATGATTCCAGTTGCTGAGGCAAAAAAGCACAACGATAATCGAAGCGCTACGTGCAGAAAGGACGTTTCCTGGTTGCGATGTCTCAAAATCTCCACTACAATTTCATCAATTAGTAAATATATGGAATTCGTTGAATTTTTACTGAATTTTCTTTATGACTGTATGATGCTGAAACAGAAAAATCTCAGAAAATTTACCCAATAGTTTCGATCCTTTCTAAAATATAAAATAAAGATGAAGATACCTAAACACCACAACCAAGGAATGCCCTTTCTGTACTCAACGTCTCAATCTTTTGACAATCCCCTGTCCAATTTATTTGATCCAGGATGATGATATCTATTCTTCGTCGCTCGTTTAGTGATGAAGAATAACGGAAGCGGAAGAGCAACCAATCAAAACACGTCTAAATTTGGCGAAAATCGCTGCGAAAAAAAAGAACATTTAATGGGACGCAAAAATTTCTGCCCGATGATGTATGTATAAAGACCCCCCACGTCAACTTAATTTGTTAGCGTCGCTCATCACGGCGAGCGGACGGAAAAAAAATAATGATTATGAAAGTGGGTTATTTGAAGCGGGTAATTAAAGACACTCGTAAACCCGTGAATTTTTATTATGCTTTAACGTCATCAACATTTTATCCGGCGCATATAAAGTGTCTCGTGGAGGAGAGGAGACAAAAATTGGACGTATTATTGTTACCTTCAAAATGGTTAATACAGGAATTTTACGGCTCCGTTGAAGAGGCTTCTCCCGTTGTTGTTTTTTTTCTTTCTCTCTTTTTTTTATTGTTTTTTTTCTTTCCGTTTAATCAAACACGGCGCCGGAATCTCACCGGTCGCCAGCGACTCCAGCTCGGTCGACGACGAAAACGGTGACACGCATCCCATCAAAATTTGTCGTTTTTCTCCGTTTTTAATTGCCCGCTTGGTTTTATCGTTATTGCGTCGAGCTGATTTTTATTCAACTTAATCGGCTCATCTCAGATGCCACTCTTAATTTCACGACAGATACGTCTTTACGCTGCGCCGGACGGACGCGGGGCATGCCCGCGTTTTCCTGGAGATTAATGACAGCGTATATGGGAATCATGCAGTTTGAAACTCAACGCAAAACGCCAGTTACTAAGAGCAGCCGCAATGTGCATCTGTTGAGGAAGCCCCGATTTTAAACGACACAGAAGTATCAACCGCGTGGAAAACCTTTCAGGACATTTTTCAGGGAACGTTCCGTACAGCGTGACAGCCAGTAAAGATTTCTACGCATAAAAATAATGAACATCGTAAAAAACCCGAGTTGACAGTGCTCCCACTTCTCGGAACCAGTCCCGAATCACGGAACTTTTGAGATTTTCCTGAATTTTTCCCGGAACTTTTCAAATCCTCGAAATTTCCGGATCTTTTCCATTTTCCGGAACTTTCTCGGAATGTTGAAAAAATCTAAAAAGAATCTCGGAACTTTTTACCATCATAGAATGGGAGAAATTGGAACAAAAAAAGTTTTGAATCCCGGAACTTTTTACATACAAGGAATGGTAGGACTGAGAGGTGGGTCATTTTCGAACCGAAAAATTCATCTAATTTACTTATTCTTCTTCTATCTTACTTATTACTTATTCTTTACTTATTTCTTTCTTAAAATGAATTTTCTCAAATCCAAATTTTTTAAAGCAAAATCCACCATTGGGACGCCAGATAATCTAAAAAGCGATTCCCGCTCCCTTGTCCATCCTCTTCGCCACGAAAGACACGTGCAGAGCCGGGCAGGAACTATCATTTTGGGAACCCACGCTCCAAATATTTGCTTCTCGTCCCCGTGCTGTCGATCCGCTCCCCCCTCCTGCTCCCCGCGCCCCCGTCCGTGTGGCGGGGTAAAGGCCCCCTACTCCGGGACGCTACATGTGCCGGTCCCCAGCCCCGTCCCGCCGGTGCCGGTGCCGGAGCTGGAGTCGGCAGCAGCCGCGGCGGAGAGCATTTCTCACTCTTTTGTTTGACGGGACTCGTTATAGCTGTCTCCTTTTGTCATTGCTCGGATTTCGAATTTCCAGGCGTCGCGCGCGCGCGCGCCCCCCGTGATCTTCACCATCGACTCCGGTTCCGAACGCTGTTGCCACGTAGAGTTTCTTTTTCCTGAATGCTGCGGTCTTGAGGAAGAACGCCGCATGAGCCTTCGGACGGTTCCTAATGTCTTTCGGTAGAACATGCATTTTCTGGAAGGCCTCTGGATATTTTCTCACAATTTTCAAGAGAATTTGGTTCGGAGTTTGATCCGAATTAAAAATAATCACCCTAAACAATATTTCTGAAAATTAATATTATCGGGTAGAAATTTGGCAACATTTGAATCGGTTTCTGTTTGACGGGGGTAAGTCCAACAACTCATGAGCTCCAGCTTTCGTAGATCACGCAACACGCTAGGGCTCATGCATTTTTGGACTAAATTCCGTCGAACAGAAGCCGATTCATTCGAATTTTTGTACGGTGTTTTTCCCAGCCATGAAGAATAGATAGGAGCGATTCCATAACTTTAAATACCTACTGTAAACTTAAGGTATCAAAATCGAGTGGACGTGCTTTGGTGAGACTTTTCTATTGGTAAAAAATCAGACCAATTTGGTGGCAAAGTTTAACCAAATATGTATTTTAAAAAAATGTTTTCTTCCGAGAGAACTTAATTAAGCCAAAATCAGGGAAACGTTAGTTTGCCATCTCCTCCAGTCGCATGGTTCCTGCATGACCGAAATTCCAGAAACAGAATTTTCTGATCCTTTTCACTATCGTTATTATGTCCATTTATCATTTTTCCATAAATTTCCCGTCATTTTGCACAGAAAATCTTGCCGGAGGGATTGACCATCGAAATCAAAAGGGACGTTTCCCTGCAAAAATAAGGTGTCTCTGGACGCGTCTGCGCGGTGAATCTCACGCCGAGCTTCTCGGCCGAGTCGCTGATAAATCGAATGTTCGCGGGGAGCACGTCGGCTCCCCTCCAGCCCCCTGACCCCCGCCGCCTC